TTTGTTCATGTCATTAGTGGGACCATGTGGGACCGGCCTAGTTCGATTTTGTTGGCTTGATTTTCAGTAATGTGAATGATGAAGGTCATATTGGTGAAGTAGAGGTGGTCAGTTGACTGCAGTAGGTCTCGTTCGAATTTCCGCTGCTCAAAGCTCTGTTGTTTTCCGCACACGCTTCTTGTTACAGATTGGCAGTTTTCTTGTACGCAACAGTGCAACTCATCCGGACTGTTGCGCTTTATCCGTTCGTGTCCCCGCACAAAACAATCCAACTGGTATCACCCATTATTTAATTCAACGCACTGAGAACGGGTTCCGTTTAAAGGTTAGTAATGCTCAACGGCCATTTTTATTTTTCTTAAATATTATATTACGATGCCTTATGTTATTCCTTATGCATTCGATTTATATGTACTCTTTTTAATTTTTGACGCTATCAGGCCAAGACTACCCGGGCAATTCTGGCCACATCGAACTCTTCATCTACAAATTCCTATTGCTTATATCATGTGTCTTCTAACCACCGCTGCCTTGCACGTCCCGTAAACAGTTATCATTGAACTCCCTTCAATGTGCTCTTCTGTGTTCTACGATCAATGCATCATGAACTAAATGAAAGTATAATTGATTGTGTAGTACATTCAGTCCCACCACAACTCAAGAAACAATGTGTCGTGTGCTTTACAACTTGCAGAATGCGATATTGTGGATCTACTCTTGATATTCGATTGTAAAAGAACTAAGTTCCCCTTATGCCAATAATTGTTAGGCCTATAATCGACATCTGACTGGGCGCTTTTTACACAGACTTTCTTTTCATGAGGTGGCACGCAGATAGCCAACCTATTCTTTTTTGGTTGGATTTCGGATTACGGTTAAATTTATTTGAGAGAGAGATTAAAGGCCTTGATGAGCTTCGAACCCATCTTTAGATGTCAGCTACATCTCTCCCGGTTCAACTGTTTTTGCACCTACTGTGTGAAGACGTTGATGTTGTCCATGTTTGGGTTCTAGTCTCAACGGGGCTCTTCCTCTTTTCCATAGTTGTATTGCATTGATCAACCATGTTCGATCGGTCCTCTCATACCTCCGAATTTCACATGTGATCTGAAAAGAATCGCGCGACTGTGAGCTGTCTTAAACTGTTTCATTTTACATTAACTTTGTTCATGTTTCGCTCCCCCTACGAATTCACAGGGCATGTATACTGAATTCTTGGTGTTCGCTTCTTGTTCCTTGCGAGCTGAATTATTCTCAACATTTTCTTATGCTGGTTAGCAATTTGTTCGCTTTCACATAAAGTTTACTAGCCATTATTATTTCAGTTCGGCTAGTCAGTTAATGCTGCTGACGAAAACTCATCCCTGTTTGTGTTTAGTGTGTGTAATTTGTTTCCGTCATTCCCTCTCTGTGCATTGTACCGCAGGGTTTGGACAAGGAATGGCCTTCACTCCGTGCCCTGATTACTCATTTAACGGTCATCCCAGAAATGCTTCCTTGTCTTTTACGCATGCCGGCCCACTCGACCAACCCAGTGTTCACTCAGCTAGACGAACCACGAGGTGAATTTGAACCCGGACACACAGTGCAACGGGGATCAGAACACGGTACCCGTTCACATCGTATTACTACAGGACCGATCAATCTTCAGGCAGTCACCTCACTCCCATCCCGACCGGTTCCACCAACGTGTGCATCACGTTCTTATCTGACAGCCGCGAGCGCTGATCCAGTCATAAACGGCAATCAGCGAAATCAAGGCAGCCATCATGAAGGCCGATCGCATTCAATCCAATTTCCCGAACCACCTACAGACTTAGGTCCTGTGGATGTGATAAGACGAAAGTCACATTCACTCNTGTGGTGGAGACGACAATGGTGAGGCCCTTTGTCGATACGATGAGGCCACTTTGATCGAAGGAGCCAAATCAAGGAATGGAACATGCAACAACGACGTTGATAATGCTTTTTCTGCTGACATTTGGACACGGCCTGCTGCGTCGTCCTCGTTTGAAGATGATGGTGATGAGGCTGAAGACGAGGATTATCAACGGTTGTCTGATTTCTCATCAATGATGGCTGACTTGAAGCCAGCGTCAGACACGCAAGTGACCAGCTGCTGATCGCGTTCATCACAATACTGCTTATTCCTGTTTATAGAAATATTAACTCATCCCACTACACGTGTGTCCAAATACGTGTAGCTGTACGGTTAGATCTGTGATTCTCTTCCTGACTGTGTGTGCGTGTTTGATGCAATCGAAAACTGAATATCCCCTTGGCGCTACCTTTCCGCGAAATTTTGCATTCAGCTTTCGACTTCAGGATCCACTGTGATGTTTGTCATATCTGGCCCCAACGATTGACCGTTTAACTGTTTTTCCCGTTGCTAGCTTGCCATTTGTTCAACGTACTGTTTTTTTGTTTATTATGCGCTCATTAATCTAATCGGTTAGCTTGGCGTACCACTGAAGCGCCATCGCCTCCTTCCTTCCGGACCCCTCAGTCAACAAACAAATTTTGTTGTTCCTCACAGGGAGTGTTTCGTTTCCTGTGCACAGTTACGAGCCTATCGTTTTATTTTGCACTGCATTCAACCATGAAGTAGCTACACTTTCTTTTTCCTTAAAATGAGCTCCCGAACATTTTCTATTTATCTGCAGACTATACTGTGTTTTTTTCCTTTCCCAGAATCACTCTCACACACTGTGGTGGTCTAAAACAATATCCCGTTTCTCATTCATTTGAACCCTAGTGCGCCTGATCCAAACGAATCATGTGAGATACATCACTCTTATGCTACGTACAAATCGAAGATGTTGCTTCGTTCCGTTTGGTTGAGTGTTTCTTTTTAGCAACTTCCTTTATCTGACTCTGGTTTGCATTCTGTTGTCCTATTCCACCAAACAGTTGTTTCGGTTCTCAATAACCGAAGTATCCCGATTATTGCCCTGTAATCCAAGATCAAAGCCATCCCGGTCGAGATCATCCTCCCAGCGGCGGTCCTCACTTGAGCTATCTAACTTCCCTCACTCAAAACGCCTCCCTATTCCTGCATGAAAGTTGTACAATGTACATTAATATCTAAACTGGCATCTGGCCGGTCTCTCGCTATCAAATACCGAAGCGTACTTGAATTCTTCAACACTTCCCGTGCATATGTGTGCGCGTATTCAGTTTCTTCAGATTGACGTGATAAAGGTGCTACTCGGGAGTGCATACATCGTCGCATCATCAACATTTCGCTTCGTTCCTTTCATTCCGGTTGGTTTTGTTGTAGATTTAGGGCTGTTTGGGAAATGATTTAGCCGTCAATCTTCGTACACATGTTTCATTACTTGCACTGAATGTTGTTATCCTGGAGTGGATGGAATCAACCCAATGCGCCTGCCCACATTTTACCGGTTTTGTCCCCATTCGTTACAAACAAGAACTAGTGATGATACTTAATAACCGTGCGAGAAAAAATTGTATATCGGATAACTCTCTGGGATAAAGCCTATCCGAACGCTTTCCTTAAACTGTTTAATCTGGAACATCTGACGGTGGAGCGACAGATATTCCTACCGAAGGGTAAGGTTATTCTACAACTACCGTCCGAGGGTGATTGCGTGAGTATTTTTTTTTTTTGAACTCCGCCTAATCACATCGAACCAGTTTTTGTCCCCAAATACCTAATCTCGGTTCTTCCAGTCCAGCAACAGTTTTCGCGATATGCCAAACCCCCTCATCCGTATTACCGATTCAGTTGTGAGTGCTCGTCCACCGGCAAATCGGCAAATCGAAAGGGCACTTTGAACAAACATATGTCGAACGCATTCGTGTGAGTCAATAAACTGTAAAACCAATCGCAGTGACTAATAAGTAAGGTCAAACGCCGCACATGAACGTGATCGATCAGTCGAAAGCGTTTGAGACTGGTAAAACGGCCATGGCAACGGCATTTTCTTCGCCCAGAACTCTCGCGTGCTCCAGTTTGCGTAGGCGGTTTTCATAAAACGATAGAAACCGGAACTATGAAAGCAGAATGAGTTATTTTCTTTTACGCATCTCGTGCAATTGAAGCATTGACTGGTTATCAGCGGTAACTGTAACTTCTTGATTTGTATCAAATTTATTGACTATTGTAGTTACCTGAGGAGAAATCGTGGAGTTTTACAGGAAAAAAAGTTGCACAACACTGCTTCTATAGTGTTCTCCATTTTAAGTTCACATTGGGAAAAAGGATATTTCACTTATCTAGGTTTTGGCATTGGGCACCACGAGTGTCTATGGTACTGGTGGCGTTAGTATCGAGTTGTCAAAGTTGATCTCACATAAAGCGTTTAGGGAACAAAATTCGAAGGATAAATAACAGCTCATGTTTCAACTCCGAGGTGACCTGATGGAGACAATCGAAATTATGAATGGTTTATCAGGGACTGATCAGGCTTTGTTCTTCGAGAGGTTGCAAAGTAACACTATGGGACACAGGTATAAGTTGAAGAAATTGCGCACGAGACTAGTGGTTCGTCCAAACGTCTTCGGCCACAGGATAATCAACTCATGAAATAAGTTACCACATGAACTGATGGAACTAGGGAGCGTAAATGCTTTTAAGCAGGACCTCCATAGGCGCTGGCTGGACTTATTTGTCAAACTAGACGTGTAGAATTAGGCCTAAAATCAGTTTTCGGTTTTATCGTTTACTATACTTCCCCCTGCAACAGGGGAACGTTTCCGAATATGAGGTCTCTCGTCTGAACAAGGAAGGGGAAAATATTTTTCTTCTATTCTTTGTCCCTTGTAGAGACGGAGACGACTAGAATGAGCAGAAAACTTGAAGAACCACAATGTAGAACACTCACAGTGGTAGGGTACCAAAACGTGGCTTACTGCCGAAGGAACTCTGGACACGCGATTGGCCGTGACCATCTTCTGTACTGTGCAACCTGACCTGAACAATTCGAATGATGAAAGTTTTTCTACACGAACTCTTTTGGTTTCAACTTACTGTTCTGTTTCGAAGATATCATCGCCTGTGTTAATACTATTGCTTCATTACTGATACTGATGTTGTGATTACACAAGGCAACGTCAGGACAAGCGGATTATTCTGTTGCAAACAACGGCAAGGGTGTCGATAAATTGGCGTACACACAAAAAAAAAGATGTCTCATTTGGAACAGTTCATTCATTATAATTCTCTGTGATGTATGACACTGACTTGGCCTATCCTTCCCCACCTCTTTTCCGTACCGTATGAGGATTTAAAATCCCTCCTCGAACAGTATTTAAAACCGATGAACTTTGGAGTCTCAGGGACGGGAAAAATTGCATTCAATGGTACGTAATCCGAATCAGGGCATCCGTGAATTCATCCTGGATTTGCTCACACAAGCTGCAAAGTATGATTTTGGTGACCTACTGGATATGCAATTGAGAGATTGATTGATAGCCGGCATTAACAATACTGTTTTGCAAAATGAACTTTTGAAGCTATCGGGCGATTTTGATCCGGTGGTAACGTCACCAAATTATCAACCCGGAGGACGAGTGTTCGAATCCCACCACCACCGTCTGACTTTTCTTTTTGTGTGTTGAATGGCAGTCCTTTAATGGGCCGCTTCACCCTTCCTGAAAATTGTATCATTTTATATTTTATATTTAATAAAATGGGGAGAAAAAAGAATCCCACGTTCAAAGATGTGCGGGCCTGTTGTGAACAATATCAGGATATTCGCCCCTCCCCCCCCCTACTTCATCCGTGCCATCGACCATCGAATCAATAGCCATGTTCATTTCACTCAAAACCAAATCCACGAAAATGTTTTGCTACAGCCGGACGTTTAAAACCAGTTGCACAATCTCGCTCACACAGTGTGACGTATTCGGATAAGTCCCATGGGAACTGTTCATCCTGCGGCAAAGGTCATTCCGGATTCACATATCGATTTCGTTATGTTTCATGTCACAAGTGTGGCAAAACTGATCATATACAATTATCGCAGTACCGAAACTTGTCGTTTAATTCAATCCAATGCCTTAAATGTAAGTGATATGGATAAACATTTTTCTTTTTTATCTTTCGCAATTACCTCCCATTTCGGTTACATTCGTAAACAACAATTCAGTTCCTCTGGTAGTTCACTTCATTTCATTTTGGACACTGGTAGTTGGGAATCTCTAATTACTGTGCATGATTTATAAGTGTTTGCTCCAGATGCTAAACTCCAGCTGTCCACTGCCACCACAAATGACATCACTGAACACTCATTGGCCGTTGTTGGTTCTTGTGAGATTTAAGTCCGTGATGAACATTCTAAAAGTGCCGTCTGTAGTCATTGTAATCAAGTGTGGTCCCTCCATACTGGGCTTGAAGGCTATGCAAGCACCAAATGTCAATCTCTCCGTGTTAAACTCTGTTGATACTGAAAATGAACTGAAAGATATGATTATTAAATGCTCAAAGACCAGTGGTGCCATGAAAATTCCTCCACTGAAACTATCAGTTAGTGGTGATCCAGTTTTTCTCAAACGTCGATTTGTTCCTTATAGCCTTCGTGAACCTGTCATGAATGCACTGAACAACTTCTGCTCTAAAGGCTTTCTACAGAAGTTGGCGTCGACAGCACGGGTACACCATTCGTCACACCACTCAAGTCGGATGAAAAGACCCCCGATTATGTGGTGACTACAGAATCACCCTCAATCCAAGATTGTTAAAACAGACTTATACAGCTGTGGAACCAGATGAAATTCTGATTAAGCTGACTGGTTCTAAGGTCGTTTCCAAGATTGACTTGAAAGATGCATATCTACAAATTGCGTTAAATGGAACCTCCCCCACCTCGACAGCTATTTACAGCTCTTTTGCTTAGTACACATACAAATTTTTGCCATTTGGTTTATCCATCTCTCCGGCCATATTCCAACATGTTATGCATGAAATTACTACTGGTATGTCTGGTGTTGAAGTATATCAAGATGACATTATTGATCGTACTGCTGACAAGTCCACTTATGATGCACGGTTGCTTTAACTCTTTCGTAGATTTTCTGATAAAAATGTTGCCGTTAGTCGTAAGAAGTGTTTATTTTCTGTCTCTCATTTTTGAATGAATCGGATACCTAGTTGATGGTA